AATTTTGATTAATGTTGGAATACCTTTCATTTCGTTTTAAGAGGCGAGTGGAAGGGATTCTATTTTAGGTGAATTGTCGTTATGCATCGTTTACTGTTGTGACGATGTCCATCACATGACGGACAAAAGCTCAAGACGGATTCATCGGGGTCGCTGGTGGAAGCAACTTACGAACCCCTTTCACTCGCCCCCTCAAACGAAATGAAAGGTACTCCAACATCAATCTATTGAGGGATTCTTCAAAACCCTTTTTTTCTACTTCCCCATTGTGATTAGTTAATAAAATCCTTTCTTTTCTTGGCTTTCTTTTAATCACAGTCACTTTTCTGTACTTTTTAGCCCAACCTTTCTCTCTCACATGGAGACAAGAGGCTCATCAACACAACCTCACGTGTGTACAAACTTGTATGATTGTATTGATGGCTAAAATACATCGAACCGGTCATCGAACCTTGATGGTCAAAAACAAACGTTACCTATTCTGTTATAATTACTTTGAATCATCACCGCTGGTTTCGTAAATATGCGAGCACGCACAGACAGACACACTCATCTGCATAGAGGTTGACATATGACTTGAACTAACAAAATTATGTACCATCATCGAAGAGCTTAGATTTAAGGATGAGCTTGAATATTGTTGTAGGATGACGAACGGAAGGTTAGCACGCTTCCACCGGAATCGAATGAAATTGTCTCGTAAACAGCCTCAACAAGAATGTTCATCTTCTGATGAGTTCGAGCTTGGAATCTCTTCGACAAACAATTTAACTAAAAATGAAAGTAAGCTCAACAGATATGTGATATTCCATTTCATTAGATTTCGTCACGTATCATAGTCGAAGGTAGGTTGCGAATTTATTAATAAATCGTGAAAATAAGAGCTCAACTCAACCTTATTCGTATACGATGATGAAGGACTGATAGATGAATTCACCCACAATTTCACGCCGCACTTGCAGGCAAATACGCATTTTTATTTAAAAGTAGGTTTATAGACAAACAGTAGATCATATATATGAGGTATGAAGGAATACTAGTTGAATTTTCCGGTGAATTTCATATAGCCTTGCCAGGCCGAACTGGATTGTAATTTCGACTCTGCCTCAACTCGCCTCATCAGCACCCCAGCGGGACTCGAACCTGACTTGTGATAATGTCAATGTTTCTCAAATGTCCCTTTCTGTAGTGGGATTGTGGATTAAACCAGGTTGTGTGATCCATTACAATCGACTAGATTACTTATTTTGCGCCGAAAAGTAGGAAACGTAAGGCCCACAGAAGAGATTGTTGGAAAATGTAACTATCAGCCCTTCATTAGCTTAAACAAAATTGAGTGAATATCCTTCATGAATTTATATTTTGCAATTACAAGTGACCATACTACTTACAGTAATAGTAAGTAGGCTTTGCATATTTCAGGTCCCACGACGCCCTCCCGGCAGTGAAATAGAGACGCATCAACTGAGTCAGCCGATCTGCCGTTCATTGTCTACCGACGACGGCGCTGCCAAGGATCGGTTTGGCCCGTGTCCCGCCCACCGGAACGGGAACACCAGACTTTGCAGTCAAGTCGGCCTCGACAGTTCGCTTGTTGTGACTGGCCCTGGGGCGCCCTGAGACGGACATTTAGCCGGGAGCCGGGAGCCGGGGGCTTGGTGGCCAAGTGGGAATTTCGGGCT